TACATGCTACTACTTGAATGAATGAATGAAGGAAAGATTGAATGAATGAATGAATGAATGAATGAATGAATAAATGAATGAATGACGAATGAATGAATGAATGAATGGATCAATTCTAGAGGTATAGGCTACTACTTGAATGAATGAGCGAATGAACGAATGAATGAAGGAATGAATAAATGATTTAAGGAGTGAATAAGTGCACGAATGGATGAATGGAATGATACCTGAATGTATGAATGAATGAATGAATGCCTCAAAGAATGAATGAATGAATAAAAGGATGAATGAATGAATGAATGAAATAAAGTAAACGACCTCGAGGAATGACAGAACAACTTCCTTTTCTCAATAAATTAATGAATAACCGGCAACCAAGTTACTCGTTTCTTTGCACACACACAAACAATGAAACGCAATGGGATTCCTTTCTAAGCGGAAAACCCCCTTTGAATTATTTGTAAAAATTTGAATCTCTTTAAAAGGCGCTATATCGGATGGGACAATAAACCGAGGCCCTGTGTGCTACAGGCTGTGCACGTTAAAGATCCCTCGACAGTTGGAAATCGAAAAAGAGTAGGCTAATGTTACTGTACTCGCAAACTTTTCCTCATCACACACTGCATGGCATTGCCCGTCTTCATTAGCTCACATGGTGCAGAAAAGTAGGACGTAAAACTCCATTCAATTCATTCTAAAAGACACAGTAAGCGCAAGAATTGATTAATTCAAGTGTGGTCTGATTTTGAAGTTATCATAAAAGAGTTAGCTCCCTTCAAATGATAGAGCCCGTTTACGAGAATATTTTGGCTACAAACCACAGTTAACTTTAAGGACAATAAAATGGTGTTACTTCCCTTGGACCAGTGAAAATCTTTCGCAACCTTGAATATAACTCGCCCAGAAAAACTGTGATAGACTTTAAATGAACTGAAATTTTACGTCCCCCCCCCCCTTTAGGCATGTGAAGACGGTCGACGCCTTGCAGTGTGCAGGGGATATCTGTCAGTTCAACAGCTTTGCATCTCGTTTCATTAGACGGACGACGCCTTGCCTTAATTCCAACTATTTTTTCTCCGTTTTGCAACGTTATTAGGTTCGCCAGCCCGTAGCTACCTGGGGTAAGGAAACGCAACACCCCCACGGTACATGGGACACATTAAAGAACCCATTAACCTTTAGCCCCACCCCTCAGTCCAACTATCCCATCCCTACAGGCCAGCTATCCCAAGGGAGAACGGAAAAATTTGTAACAGGTTTATTCATTATAAAAAGGGAAAACAGAGAAATCCAACAAGAACAATTATTTACAATAAAAACAAAAACAAACAAATAAATAAACAAACAAATAAATAAATAAATAAATAAATAAATAAACAGGTACTCACAGTTACAATTTTCATTTTTCATGATTTTGTACATTTTTTATTTGTAAATCTTTATAATGTACAATTATTTTTGTAAATCATGACAATGTACAATTCTGTTTTGTAGATCATGATAATGTACAATTATTTTTGTAAATCATGATAATGTACAATTATTTTTGTAAATCATGATAATGTACAGTTCTGTTTTGTAGATCATGATAATGTACAATTATTTTTGTAGATCATGATAATGTACAATTCTTTTTTGTAGATCATGATAATGTACAATTCTTTTTGTAGATCATGATAATGTACAATTCTTTTTTGTAAATCATGATAATGTACAATTCTTTTTTGTAAATCACGACAATGTACAGTCCTTTGTAAATCATGATTCTATACTATTCTTCGTAAATCATGATCATGTACAGTTCTTTTTTAATCATGAATTTGTAAATAATGACATTGTTCACAGTAAATGATGATAATGTACAAGTCTTTTTGTAAATCACGACAATGTACAGTTCTTTGTAAATGATGATAATATACACGTCTTTTTGTAAATCATTACAATTTACAAGACTTTTTGTAAATCATTACAATTTCATTACAATTTACAGTTCCTTGTAAATCATTACAATTTACAAGACTTTTTGTAAATCATTACAATTTAATTACAATTTACAGTTCCTTGTAAATCATTACTACTTACAAGTCTTTTTGTAAATCATTACAATGTACAAGTCTTTTTGTAAATCATTACAATGTACAAGTCCTTTTGTAAATCATTACAATGTACAAGTCTTTTTGTAAATCATTACAATGTACAAGTCTTTTTGTAAATCATTACAATTTACAAGTCTTTTTGTAAATCATTACAATGTACAAGTCCTTTTGTAAATCAATATAACAACAATAAAATAATCTCTTTGTAATTTTTGCAAAATTAAACTTAAAAATATTTTACAGTTCATTTTTTTGAAAGCAAAATGCAATGGAGTATTAGATCACACAGGTCTGCGCCTTGCCTAATTTAAAAACATAACCCCTGGAGATTACAGAGTCATGGAGAATCTTTGGAACTTTGGATTTTTGAAATCAATTACAAAATCAGTGATGATATGGGAACCTTTGGTAGAAAAATTCCAAATTTTTTTGTAAGTGTCTATAATGCACACCCTTCGTTATCAGGTCTTTTTGGAGGGCAAAATCTACACAAATTGGGTCTACATTTTCAAGCCCTCAACTTTTCTTCCATAAAATCTGAAATATAAAAATGAAATAAGGTTAACTGGAATTTCATGCTTTATTTGTCTGCTCCTGATAGACCTAATGCTCAATGCCATACAGTGTTCAATGGTGGAAATTTCAAGAGAAAATGTGAAATATGTGATTGTTTGATGGGAAAGTGTCTTTACTAGCTTAGTAAGCTGGATTCATGCTATTCTTTTTAAGCTCAATTAAAGCTATTCTTTTTAAGCTCGATTTAAGCTATGGTCGATTTAAGCTATTCTTTTTAAGCTTGATTTAAGGTATGGTCGATTTAAGCTATTCTTTTTAAGCTTGATTTAAGGTATGGTCGATTTAAGCTATTCTTTTTAAGCTCAATGAAGGATATTCTTTTTAAGCTCAATTTAAGCTATGGTCGATTTAAGCTATTCTTTTTTAAGCTCGATTTAAGCTATGGTCGATTTAAGCTATTCTTTTTAAGCTCAATTAAGGATATTCTTTTTAAGTTCAATTTAAGCTATGGTCGATTTAAGCTATTCTTTTTTAAGCTTGATTTAAGCTATGGTCGATTTAAGCTATTCTTTTTTAAGCTTGATTTAAGCTATGGTTGATTTAAGCTATTCTTTTTAAGCTTGATTTAAGCCATTCTTTTTAAGTTAAGCTCGATTTAAGCCATTCTTTTTAAGTTAAGCTCGACTTAAGCCATTCTTTTAAAGCTCTTTTTAAGAATTAAAATCCGACATCTGCATGGTTCAGCTGCAGTTTTCCACTTTGTTTGAAAATTGAAATTGGATATTGAAATCTGGTATCCTAGTCAAAATGGTGTGGTACATTTTTTGTTGAATTGTAGAAGAACTGAGAGTCAGATTTTTATTCCGGAAAGAGTTTACACTTCTGTATTATTTTATGTATAAACTGAACAAAAATTGGCTGAAAGTGTCTGACGGTTCCATCACATACCACCAGACAAAATGGTTTTATGGTTCTGGCTGGTGAATTTATGACCAATTGGGTTTCAAACTATGTCATAAAGAGTAATATATAGTTATATATGTCATGAAGATCAAGACTTAATATTATCTTGAACGACCAGGAAATCAAAATGGTAATAATAACTAAGATCAATAACATCAAGGCTATATAGATGTAATATTTTCCTTCCTCTAAATGAGAAGAGCTTTTAAAGGAGATGTGCCA